TCGATGGCCTGCTCGTCGCAGACGTCGGCTATATACAAAAGGACGGAAAGCCTCTGTACGGACATGGGAGAAAAGAGTCCACTCGGCGCCCGGGCACTGATGAGGCGTTCCCCGTGTCTCATCTGACATCAATGGCCTGCGTGCATGTGCAAGGACGAGCTATCGAGCCGCGCCTCAGCCTTGACATTGGGGATCGCATTCGGATGAAAGAGTCGTTTTGGGGCAAGCAAGATGACGGGCCGTCGCTATCAGGCTCGGAAGGCCGGACAGTCAATGTATTCTTGGAAAACAACACAGACTCGGTATGCTCGTTCACGATACACGCAACACCGCGCGAACTGTTTACGGTGACGTGCGCGGATGATCCGGCCGAACAATCAAAGGACACAGGACAGAAGAAAGTGGCGCATGCATCTGCCAAGGGTGGGCGAAAACAAAGTGGCACGGCACGATCACGGTCAATGAGCCTAGGGAAAATCCTCATGGTCTCCGGCAGCTACCTACACGAGTTGAAACCCACAGAACAGATGCTCATTTCTGTACGCTACACTCCGCATCCGCACCCGGCAAAAAGCCAAGCTGATGCATTGCCAGGACCTGTCACTGACTCCTTTCCGCTTCCGGTAAAGAGTCCCGTGGCGCCTCCTGCCCCATACTCACCTCGCAGCGCTATCTCATCAGTCAGCATGGGGTTATTGTCTGCCAAACAAGACGACCAACTGTCGAGTGATGAAGACGCTGAGAACACGCCCAAGGCACCGGCGGATAATGCAGGCAAATTTGCGTCAGTCAACGTACCTCCGTCCTTTGAAGCTGCTGGCATTCCAGATTCGCGTGTCGAGGGAAGTGCACAGAGAATCTCACCCGCAGCATCCGTTGCGTCACTCAAAGGTTCTTCGCTGCCCATCGAAGCGCCTTTTGGAAAAGACCTTTCTGTGCCTGCGACTGAGACGTTGCATGCAGATCCAGGCAGTGCATCGGAAGAGTCGCCCTTGAATTCTGCAACTCCTACTGGGAGCCCGGCAGTTGCCCCGCAAGTTCCAGCAGCAACTGTGCCAGGCTCTGAGGTGAATCTCACAAGCGCTGGGCCGGCCGCTGCGCACGATGTCGCGAAGCCACTATCCAAACATGGATCCAACGCTTCATTGAAGGGATCTAATCCGTCGCTACGTGCATCAGTGGTTCTGCCAAAACCGTCCCGCGCGTCCTCCTCGTCCGATAGAACCAAACGCGCAGTAACAAAGAAGCCTGCTGATACTCCGTCGTTGGAAGAAACACCGACCTTGCCGTCCCCGCCAGCAGTCGAACTGAAACCAGACATATCGCTAACGACGAGGCCGATGACTGCGCGGTCGCGCATAGTGGCTGAAGGAACGTTGAATATCTACTTTACGAATGGCATCAAGCAGCAAATCCCGCTCATTGTCGAAGATACAACATAAAAACCTCATCGTTCTCTGTACATATTCCTCACATCGTTTCATTTGATAATACATTTACGTTATTTCCACCGTTCAAATATCTTCGCATTGTCATCACTATGCAACAATGTACTAAACTCCCACCTCCATTTTCTTGGCAATATCCAGCATGAGTAGGGCATGCAAGGTCTATCATCAGATTTTATTCTTACTTTTTTTTTAATATTTTGTGTTGAGAGAGACTTCAGTAAAGCGGTGAGAAGCGGACTATACATGCCAGATGTAGGTCAGTCGCCGCCCCCCAGCGAGAAACTCCACGCGTCTGTCGTTCGTCATTCAATCCCAGAACGTCAACGTTGCCACCAGCAAATCCCCTCGCTAATCGCCAATCGTTCTGCAAAAATATCACCCTGGGAACCTCAAAAGCCCCAGGCCTCGCTTCGCTCTAGTCTATATCATCCCTGCAATTGTACCTAGCTGCTTCCGCTAGCGGCTTCCTTCCGTCTCAACCGCTGTTTTCGAGGACTCAAACTTTGTGCCACCAATGGCAGACCCTAGGATCACCGCCGATGAGGCCGCCCGCATTCACCAGGCTGCTGTCACACGAAACTATGCTGTGCAGCCTCGGCTAGGTACGTACAAGGCATTGCCTTCTCCCGTAGTACATACTGCTGTTGGCAAAAGAGCGAGAGAGACATTGTCACTCTTGCATCCGGGGTATGACGCGACGTGCGCCTTTGTTTAACCTCTTGCTTTTGAACAGACTATCGTACGGTTGCTGGTGTCAATGGGCCGCTAGTTATCCTCGACAACGTCAAGGTAAGAAGATGCAACGGCACTGTCATGACTTGGGAGCGAGCTTCCGGAACTCATGGCTTTATATTGACGATAACTCTTACGCGCGCATCAGTTCGCAAAGTTTGCTGAAATCGTGGAGCTTACTCTTCCCGACGGCACCAAACGCTCCGGTCAAGTTCTGGAAGTACAGGGCAAGCGAGCCATCGTTCAGGTCTTCGAAGGAACGTCTGGCGTCGATGCGAAGGCGACCCGCGTTGAGTTTACTGGTGATACGCTGAAGATTCCGGTATCTGAAGATATGTTGGGCCGCGTGTTCAACGGATCCGGAAAGGGCATCGACAGGGGACCGAAAGTGTTTGCCGAGGATTACTTGGACATTCAGGGTGCGATGACGACCGACAAACAGGGTGCTCCTCCTCCTCACGGCCTTCTCACACGCCCTCGATTTCTCGTTATTAGGTCAGCCCATCAATCCCTTCTCGCGTATCTACCCCGAGGAAATGATTCAAACGGGAGTATCCGCCATCGACACCATGAACTCGATTGCTCGAGGGCAAAAGATTCCAATCTTCTCAGCTGCCGGTCTACCTCACAATGAGGTGGGTAATGCGGACTTGCAAAATGTTCTCAACAATCGCTGCGAGACACTGAATCAAGACAAAATCTCTGATGTTAGATTGCGGCTCAAATCTGTCGACAAGCTGGCTTGGTCAAGCGCGGCCTTGATAAGAGTGTGCTGGATAATCACGAAGAAAACTTTGCCATTGTTTTCGGTGCAATGGGTGTCAACTTGGAAACTGCTCGATTCTTCAAACAAGATTTCGAGGAGAACGGCTCGCTTGAGCGTGTCACGTTGTTCTTGAACTTGGCGAACGACCCCACGTATGTATTGCATTCAAAGGACAGGGTTACTCGTGAAAATATGTGCTTACCATGATGGTTTGCAGAATTGAGCGTATCATTACGCCGCGTTTGGCTTTGACGACTGCTGAATATTACGCGTACCAGCTGGAGAAGCACGTGTTGGTCATCTTGACGGACATGAGTTCCTATGCTGACGCCCTTCGTGAGGTTGGGCATCTTTTGCAATCTCAGCGATGATGCATGATACTCAAACGTATTTCCAGGTCTCCGCGGCCCGTGAAGAAGTACCAGGACGACGTGGATACCCAGGTTACATGTACACAGATTTGTCCACAATCTATGAACGTGCTGGACGTGTACAGGGACGCAACGGTTCAATCACCCAGATTCCTATTCTTACGATGCCCAATGATGGTTCGTCCATTCTCCCATAAAGCCGTTGGAGGCACTGTGTATTGACAAGCGATGTTAGATATCACGCATCCAATTCCGGATTTGACTGGTTATATCACGGAGGGTCAGATTTTCATCGACCGTCAGCTGCACAATCGTCAGGTACAGCAGGTTGTTGGTACTTTACAATCATGCAAAAGCTAACTGGAAACATGACGTGCTCCAGATCTACCCTCCAATCAATGTACTTCCCTCGCTTTCCCGATTGATGAAGAGTGCGATTGGCGAGAAGCTGACACGCAAAGATCACGGAGACGTGTCCAACCAGCTGGTACTTGTCCGCCTACCCATCTGCTGACTACTTCAGCCCATGTACTGACATGTCGCTTCACAGTACGCCAAGTACGCCATTGGACGAGATGCTGCCGCCATGAAAGCGGTGGTCGGAGAGGAAGCTCTCAATCAAGAAGACAAATTGGCGTTGGAATTCTTGGAGAAGTTCGAAAAGACATTTATCGCTCAAGGTGAGAAAAGATTGAACTTCTTCCCATGGCCGGGGTCGGACGGAAGTGTTAACCTCTTGGTCGTTTTTGTTTGTTTTTTACCAGGATATTATGAGGGACGGACAATTTTCGAGTCTCTGGATCTGGCGTGGTCGCTGCTCCGCATCTTCCCTAAGGAGATGCTGAATCGCATCCCCCAAAAGATCCTTGCCGAATACTACCAGCGCGCAAAAGCGACAAGAGCCGGCGCGGCTGCGTCTGAACCAGCCTCTTCCCAATCTCAACAGTAGTAGAGGAGTACAACCCCTGCATTTTATTCTTTGTTTATTGTCTCTTTGCCTGTAAGACGATTCGTATCTCCCGTTGAGAAGTCAATGACATATGCGCTTTTCCCCTTGATTGTTTGACAAGAGGTACTGTGCATCGTGACGAGATGTCTTTGTTTGTAAGACGATTCGTATCTCCCGTTGAGAAGTCAATGACATATGCGCTTTTCCCCTTGATTGTTTGACAAGAGGTACTGTGCATCGTGACGAGATTGCTCCGTGCCCACGTGGCCAAACCCGACGTGACAAAAACTCAATTGCTCCAAACATAGGATTCAAAAACACCTCCAAAAATAAACTGGAGAAAAACAATGGTACGTTTAGAGTTAAACCGCCACACACACACGCACACCAATGTTCCAAATTCCCAAACTGAGTATTGAGCAGCTCTGGCTGCCGTTTGTTTATTGTTTCACAAAAAAAAAAAGGAATTAGAGTGTTAGCAACAAAAGAAAAGGAAAAAAAGAAGAAAGAATGATCGTAAAATCAAAAACAAAAAAAAGTAATTAAAAAAGATAACTTTTTTTGAACAGATGTGTTTATTTTGTGTGTTGTGTATCTATTGATTGCTAGATGACTTATGTATTAAAAAGACAATGGGCGAAAGCAACGTTGGTTGGTACCCGGTAAGTACTCAAACCTTGCACAGGCATTTGCAGCTATATGGGGAACAAAAAAGATGGAGGAAACAAGTAGCCCTCGTGGCGTAATGGCAGCGCATCCCCCTCCTATAAAAGGGATGAAAGGGGAAGGTTGCAGGTTCAACCCCTGCCGGGGGTGCTACGTTTTTTTTCCATCACAGCACACCCCGAACACAGGCTTGAAAGCTTTGGGGATGACTGCGAGACAGCATGAACGTTCGCTGAGCGCACATGTTCTACTATGGTCAAAGAAGTCAGTGATGATGATGCCACTATGCACATATCCATGTATGATCATAAGAAAGAAGAACAGGCAATGAATGTGGGACTATATCCATTAACAATAATAAGAGAAACACCTGAACCCATCTTATGCTTGTGTCCTTGACAATGACGGTCTAGACTCTCTGGAAGTGGAAAGTTGAACCTAAACGTCGAAACTGAAACTGAAAGGCAAACAAAACAGGCCTACATCTGGGCTGGACAGTGCGTCAATCACCCCTCTCTCTTTCCAATCAACAGATTCACAGGATGTGTGTACGAGGGAGGGAGCATGAGAGAGTAGTGAGTGACGGAGCAAAAACGAGAAGGCAACGAACACTGTATGTCGTTGTAAAGTCCATAAAGTCGCGCGCGGGAGGGACAAACAAGGTTTGAACAAAAATCGTCGCCATTCCCTGGTCTTCATTCCTTTTCACCTTTTGAGTTATTGTTGTTGTTGTTGTTGTCAGATCCTCCTTTACCCTGGTCATTTCCCCCGCATTCACTTCCCCCGCATTCACTTTCTGCCCCTCCGCCCGTCCGGCCGCTTCTTCTCCTTCGCCCGCCTCTCTCTCGCCACCCGCCAACAATACTTGTATATAGAGGTAGCTCCCGTCCGTCGTCCGAATTCATTCTGTCAACTGCCCCAGTCTTCGTCCCGTCCGCACCTCTCGCCTCCCGCTCGCCTACTGTCCTGCTCTCTCCTGCAAATGTCTCGACACCGGTGGAAACGACGTGCTCCTCCCCACCTCTCAACCACATCCACAGCATCAACGGCAAACAAGTCAACAAGAACGTTGACAAAACGCCCTCTATCCACGGCGGAAATTGCCTCACCATTGTCACGCTACTCCGACACCGACTGCCCCTCACATAGCACTCCTTCCTCACACCATTCACTAGCACATTTCTTGCGGACAAAAATAGATTCCCTCCCTCGACCGCGCGGAAAACCACCACTGCCGTTCCTCTGGCGGTCACATTTGTCTCGCGTCCTCCGGCGCCTCGTCCTAGCCATCGTCCTGCTCGCATGTCTCTGGGCCCAACCCGCAAAAGCGCAGGATCATAAAAAAGTCAATGTACTTATGAAGCCGCTGTTTGACGACTCGGCCACCGAAGAGTTGACTCAGTTGAAGGAGCTGACGACCAATTTCGAGGCCCTGACGGGAATCTCGATTCAAATGGACCTGGAACCCACAGTGAGTGTTTAGCACGCCGCAGCGATGAAGTCGAGTGATATGAAATATCTACTACGTACAGCACCTCATGTCCTTCGCCTCTCTTTCTCTTTCGCTTTCCTTTTTTCCAGCAAAACTCCGACGCTTCCGACTATTTCAGTGTTGTAGACCCAATCATGAATTCACAAAGCACGAAATACGACATCATTGCCATCGATTCTTCTTGGATATACCAATGGCCAGAAGGCTTTTACGATTTGCTGTTGGACCAGCCAGGTTCCGCTCAGACGGCCCAAGATATCCGGAACAGGATAAATGAGGAGGATGATCAGAGTGTGAAGGCTGATGCCACAGATGGCGGGAACGTGGGTAAGTGATTTGCCAGAGGTCTCAGGAACAAGACTGTGCCTGCACGACAGCGGAGAAGTCAAAACTTCTGTGTGGAAATCTTCGTGGGTTCCTTGTTTTGATCTGCATCTCTGGTTCTTCCAGTTGCCATTCCAATGTGGGCCGACTATTCTGTCGTTTACGGTCGAGCGGATTTACTCGCAAAATACAATATTACTACGATTCCGACCAGCTACCTGGAAATGAAACAAGCATGTCAAACAGTCCTCACTGGAGAAGGACCGACTCATCGCTCATTGCAGTGTTTTGTCTCCAGCCTCGGCGGTAAGACTCAATTTCCAGATGACTCTTCTTGTTGTTCCTGGTTCATGCAACTCAATATTTCCGTGTTGCCCAGATGCCGACGTTGTTGAATTATTCGCTGAATGGATTTACACAAACAATTCGACTCCACTCATCAAATACCCAAATACGGTTAGCTTTGATACGGAGAGGAACCGTCAGCTTCTGCGCACGTATGCCGATTGGATCAAGACGGGCAATTTCATTTCCGACCGGGCGTTGCAATATGACAGTAAGAGTGCCCTGAGCACATGGTTATTGGGTGATGCCTTGTTCTACCGGGGCAAAGCGTCACATGCCTTGAAGACGTACAAAACGTGGGCGAACAAAGCACCATGGGCCCCCGTGGTCATATCGGGAAACAATCCCGCGGCAGTGAGTCCTATCGTCTCGGTCGTAGGCGGTTACCATCTCGCTATGCCAAAGTTTGGTGGAAACAAGAATGATACGATGGTCGCGATGGCGCTGTTGTTCTTGACCAGCGCGCCTGTGCAAAAGGCGAGAGCGCTCAGATTTGGCGCCATTCCCACTTTGACTCAATTGACCAATGGTAAAATATTCCACCCAATACGTCTTGAAAAGCACCGATGAAGTTTACACCGAGCACTATAATGATTCCCGCATCCTCTTTCGAGCAACCCATCTCATGCTTTCTTTCTTCTTCGGGCAGATCCCGAGACGTGTACTGCGGTAAACTGCTCCAGAATAGCCAATCTAGCCCCATACGACCTTCCCTCGGAGGCGGCGGCACCGTTCTGGGTCCAAGCTGTAGATGCCATGTCACCCTATTTTACGGGGATCTTGAACGGCACGTACGACGCAGGAACGGGGCTGGGACAAGCCTCTGCTGCCGTGCAACGGGCCTTCATTGCTGCTGCGCAAAAGCCGACCGAATCCGGCGCCCTGAGTACCACCGCCGTCATCCTCTTGGCGGTGTTGGTCCCCATGGCCGTGGTCGCCTTGTTGCTCTGTGCGGGATTGTGGTGGAAGAGCCAGCGGTCCACCAAAGCGGCCGTTTTGGCCCGGCAAGAAGAGATTACGGTCGGCTCGGCCGCCACGGGAACGCGGGAAACGACCAGAGTACCGTCCATGGCGGAACGAAAAGACCATGGCGTTGTCAACCTCTCCATCCGACCCGCCCGCCGTCCCGACGCATCCAACGCCGCCGACATCCAGCGCGTGGTCGGCACGGGCGCCGCAGCAGGGAGCGTCAAGAATGCTGGCCCCAACACACCCACCCCGAGCGGCCTCACCGCCCACGACGGCGACGCCACAGCATCGGGCTACGCAGCAGGACCCGGAACCGCAAGCGAATACCGCGACCGCAACAGCACCGACGTACCGGACTCCCAGTACCCGCATCGATCCCCGCGCAGCCGCACCTCGTCGGGCGACTACCCCTACATCTCCCAACGCTTCACGGTCATCCACGCCTACAAACCCGCAGTAGGCGACGAACTTGAAATCCGCCCCGGTGACGTGGTTTCGGTTCGACTCGCCTACGACGACGGCTACGCGTTTGGCCACAATGAAATGACTGCCACGGCCGGGGTCTTCCCCCTCGCGTGCCTTCTGCCCGTAGGAATGGAGGTCGGCCTCCCCTCCCGCCTCGAATCGGGCGCGTCAAATTTCAACGCGATGCAGCATGCGAGCGAAAAAGTCGATTCGCTCGAAATGCTCCTCCTCTCGGGGAGAATCACCGAACAGACCTATCTGTCGCTGCGAAGGGAACAGGAAGAGGAACTGAGAACGCAGCGCCAGATTACGGCACTCAGGGAACGACTTGCCCAGCCCAACCTCGAAGACGCGGAACGCAGGAAATTGCAGAATCGATTGGATGAGCTCGAATTGGGAATTTGACCTCCTTTCGATCATGATGAGCAACCCCCCGCGGCAATCCTATCTTCCTTCTTCAATCCACGCCCCCCACGCCCTGCATCGCCCTATACATATACACGCAAATCCAACCTATCTTATGTATTTTTCTTTTTTCTCTTAATTTGTGTTTTGTGCTTTCATCTTGCATTCTGTCAAAGAACAAAGCTATTTATATCATCCCAGATTATGAAAGGTGGCATGGTCTTTTGTGGTGGATGAGAATGTGGTGCTTGGGTGTTGCTTTGATCTGAAACTATCTCTTTCACAATCATGATTCCTCTTTCGTACATGAACAGGGCCACAGGTCCATAAGCCATCTGCCAGCTGCCATCACATATTCAAAGCGCAGCAGGTCTCCACATTCCCCATTCCCATTTCAATCCCCCCCCCCCCCCCCCCCCCGGCGGGGTCTTTCTTCACCACTCAATCGCCTCTCACTTCCCCACTTGAGCCTCACCCCTCTCCCTAATCCACACCTCCAACCTTCCAAACTCCTGTTCCACTTTTTCCCACGCGCGTTGTCGTTTAGCCCTGAACGCGGCGCGGGTCACGTCAGCTTGGTATGCGGCAAATTGTTGGATCGACATGGTTGCCATGGTCGTTGGAGTCATGGTGTCGTTGGTGTGAGTGTTGGTGTGTTCGAGGGGTGTGATTCTGACCGGGTTGATGATGGTGTGCTTGCTGTGTTGTGTGCTGGGTAGGGCGGGGTTGGTGGTGCATGAGGCGACGGCGGCGGGGGTTTCGGGTGGTGGCGGGAACGAGTGGTGGTGTTGGTGGTGGTGTCGTATCGACTTTCCGGCCGTTATCGCCGCATGGGAGGGTTCAGCCGCTGGTGCTACTGCTACTACTGCTACTCCAATTCGCGTATCCTCGTGCTTCTCCTCATCGTCGCCACTCTTCTTTTTGCTGCTGTTGCTGTTATTGTCATGATTCACAAAATCCGAAGTCGTCGAGCTAATCATCGTCAACGCCGGGAGGAGTTCCAATGAATTGACATGAGCCTCCACCTCCTCCTCCTCCCACACCGCATTCTCGGTGTTATCCTCCACTTGCGGTGCAGTCATGTCGGTAATTGCGGGACCATCATTCCGTGCTGCTGCTGTTGTTTTCGTTTGTTTAGACAGGTCATCAC